CCGAAACGTTCGGATCTTCGCGAATATATATAATCCCTCCCTATTTCAAATAAGACACTCTTATTGCAAAAAAATATTACTTTTATCATAGACATACACATACCATAATTTCAATTTACAACGAATCGTATAAATCCCTGGAAAACTTCAAAATCCAAACTGTCCAATTATTTAGAATTGTATAAAATTTGAATTTTATTTTGCTCCATGAAAGTAATATATTTACATTAAGATGTTTATATTTATATTATATTATATTTATATAAGAATTTTAAGCATCGATTGTGAATACATCAACTACGATAAAGAAAGCCAAGATAAGTCAAATTTTGGATGTAAATTGATGGAATTGATGAAATTGATTTAATAAAAGAATATATAATGTGTTATTTGTGACATCCAAAATTGGATCGCTTTGTTTATCATAGTTGATATATTCACATATACGATCGTGCTTAAAATTCTTAATATGTTTGTATACACGCGACCATACAACGCGTTCTCTCTATATCAGTTATTGCGAAGAATATTTCCGAAGTCTCAGTGGTCGAGCTGGCTGAGACACTCTTCCCAGAAAGTTGAGAGATCCCAGATTCGAATCCTAAAGTAATATTTTTCGCAATAAATTTCTTATTTTCTTTCTTTCTTTCTAATTTAATTTAGGAGGATTATTAGCTTTTCAGAATGATTGTGATGCAACCGAAAGTTATCGGCTCACAATCATATCTGGAATAAATTGATTTAATAAAAAAATATATAATGTATTATTAACATCCAAAATTTGACCGATCTTGGCTTTCTTTATCATCATTATTGTAATATATCTATGCAACCAATTTGAAGCAAAGGAAATTATTTCTATCAACTAATTCCTAATTAAAATGAGCTTTGATTCGCCTCTATTTTAATCGTATTCGCAGCTTCGAGGATATTCAGAATCTTGCATAATGGCTCTAGAAATTTCTACAAGCGGGATATACGTAATGGAACCCTGTATAGGGCTTCCACATCCGTTCCACCGGCCAGTAATCTTTAAAGCTGAATCGATTTTCAGTTAAACGATGAATTCCTCCAGGATAATTGTTCAATTTCTGTATGTTTCAATAATGTAACGCAAAATAAGTACGAGGGATCGTTCTTGCTGGAGCCAAGATTAGAAAGCAGATGTATAGCTTTCCACTGCAGGTTCAATATGGTTGCTTTGATTATATAGGACTCTAATTTAGACGGAGTTTAAATGGATCCTAAAGTGAAGCCCAAACTCCGAGATCATTTTACAGCACATCGACATATTTATACACCAATGTCTCACGCAAACTATAATACACGTCGCACATTCGTATAACAAATTCGTCACGATAAAGCGTCTAAGTCTTATTCTAAGAACTCGATGTTATTTGTTCAATATGTATTTGCAATATTATTACAATCATAGCATCATAAAAATGTCCGCGTTCAGAAAGGTGCTGTAATGCCATAGCAATATTGCAATTGCAATATATTGTTATATATTGTAATATATTTGCAACTATTGTTAAAAATAATTTTTTTATTATTACTGAATATAATTTGAAATACAATTTGTGATATAAATTTTAAAAAATGCAGAAAAAGAACTAATTAATATATATTTTATATTATAATTATTATATTATAATTATTATATACTTAATTGTAAATTTTATGCAGGTTTTTAAATTTTACATATATAGACATATATTTTACACTTTATGCAAGTACGTCTATTTTGTACATATTCTTCTTAGTAAAATAAAAATTAAAAACTCCACGCATTCATTTCATTTTTTTTGCAATATTCAAAAAATTTTAAATCCAAATATTCCAAAAAATTATGAAAGTTGATTATAAAGTTTGAAAAATCTTTTCGCGCAGTGGTAACAATAAACACTATAAGTTCGCGCATACTGGATGCGGAAACACTTGCCGCACAATAAAATGTGATGCGGTAACCAATAAGCTTACAGCTCCTAATATATTCATTGGTTACCGCGTCGCATTTTGCTGCGCAGTAAACGTTTCCGCATCCAGTGCTGAAGTCATAAATTAATGAAAATAATTAATAATACAACGTGTAATTGACGATGTTTCCATATATGATAGTACTTCATTACTTAAAAGCCAAAATATCTTTTAATGTCTATATAACAATGTTGCAAAATTTATAAAATCTTGCACCGTAATATGTATTATACAGAGTGTCCCATTTTAATGTCCCACCCCAAATAACTTTTTTATTTTTGATCTTAGAAAAAAATATTTCGGACAAAAATTATATGGTTTAGAGAGGGACATAAGATGATTTGACCTTAGATAGTCGTTTGAAAGTGAAGGTTGTTTCCTTTCTTGTAATATTTATTTCTTAATGTTCTTTTACATAAGTTACTCTGCTTTTGATATTGTGAACATTATGTTCTTACAAGAAATTTAACTTGATTTTATCTGTTTTGTCAATTTTAATTTATTTAATTTATATTATTATGTTATGGTGTGCCCCCATAAATTCCCATAAGTTTTTATTAGTAATCTTTCTTTTTAACTGTCTTTTTAATGATATTATTTCAGCTCGCACTTAGTTAATCAGCTAACTGATGGTTACAGATATGATAATCTGTGAAATGATCTCGATTTCTTTGACGTTATGAACATTATTATCAATTATTGCTATGATTGGAGACTGCTGAGAATGGCTTGAATATAGCCGAAACATTCAGTTTTGTATATTATGTAATAAATACAATCGAAATATATGTATATATATGATAATCGCTCTATTTTTTATTTGTTTTAATATTTTAAAAGCCCAATTTGAATTATTCACTTTTGTTTAAAATATTTATTTATTTATTATACGTTATTTATTATACGTTTCTGCTACATTTTTGCCCTCAGTAGTTGATAATGCAGATTGCGTTTGCAGAATGCGATATTTGCCGCATTTTTGCAGTCACGTCGTGACAGTAGACTGTCCTTGATTTTTATTGTATTTTTATCACTGTGATTTGATACGAGTTCAGTGATTTTCCCACGCCTAAGCATCTAGTCGTCCTCAGCTTCATTAATTTATGAATTTGATGAAAAAAAAAATGGATAAAAAAAGGTTTATATCCCCAGATTAGTATAAACAATTGGTGAAAACATTTAATAATTCTTAATAAATAATATCCTTAATAAATAAATATAATATATTTTTAACTACTGTATATTTAAAATATTGTTTTTAATAAAATATGCAAAAATGTTAGATTAATAAATTAAAAATTTATCTCAAATGTAAATATTTTCTGTTCTAAAAAATTTGCTGCCTTAGGCAAGTGCCTTATATTTGCCTATGCGTTAATCAGTAGGCTACAGCACAACTTATCCACTGTAGCCTGCCGATTTCGCTGTCATAATAACATTAGATCATTCTTAATTTCTGCTATCTTTCTGCTATTATTTAATATGGCAAACTTTGTCTGATATTTACGTTATTTGATATTTGTAACAAAAATACTCGATTTTTATTAGCATTTCTACCGTCGTTCTATGTTGGCAGATTATATTGTTAGAAACTAAGTTTAATGCGGAAGCAACAGTTTGATATCTGCTGTAATGTCATGATCAAGTTTGCTGGCATACTACTAGCATTTTGCTATCTAGATATTTCCATATAATGTCAAACCTGAGATTATACGGTATTTCGTATTGAGTAAAATTTGAGATTAAGACGCGCGCGAAAGAAAACGGAATGATACTACACGACATATTATTGCATTAAGTTTATTAGAGATCACAGTATAATTGGTATGAAAGTGGAATAATACGCAAGATATCATGTACTTAGGGATGTAACAAGATGTTTTCCAGCAAGGACACAATATGACACAGTGAATCATTTCATCCATATTTAACATTAAGTTTTAATTTCATTGATAAATGACAAAGATGTAATGTTCATTATGTTACACTGTGTCCTTGCTGTAAAATGCTCCCATAGATCTCATTTCTTAATGCTTTGTACAAAGCGCATAGAGTTCCTATACAGACAGTCTGGTCATTCGAAGAATTCCATGTGATTGATATAAAACGCTGCAATCGTATATTTTCCTCTGGCCGACAATAGTGATAATAATGTATCTTATAACCTAGATATTTAATTTCTCAATAGCTAATAGCTAGACACTTAGTTTCTTAACAGTTCACTTCCTCGACAGCGAAGACAACATCAAGACATTTAATTCTTTGATGGTGAATGCCTATAGATACTTAGTTCCTCAATGATGATTTCGATATTTCATTTTGAATAATTTGCGCCGCGCGCGTCACAGCCGTTACGTGCAACGCTGGTTTGTTGGTTAAATAAATGATTATTAAAGTTAAAAGCCATCTATCAAAAAAACGAACGTACATTTCTTATCTAGCCGACAAACATAATAATAACGTCTTTAAATTAAAAAATAAATTTTGACATATTCAGATTTTACGTCACAACATATCTGCTCGTAAGGCATATAGAGAAAAAAATAAAAACATTTTCATTGTATATTTTGAGCGGAAATAATCGATTGAGTACATTTAAAACTTGATCGATTCAATCCTTATTAACATTCGATAATCTCAATCTTTCGCAACTCCGCATCACTAACTGCGCTGTCACCAACGCATAGGTGCCTTCCTTTCATATATCTATGGATGCACACTGATTGTACAGAAAGTATATGGAGGAGGAAGTATATAGGGAGTAATATAAACGCCGATTTCGAACGGCAATTTTTGGAAGATTTAGAAAGGCAATTTAGGAAGATTTCCTGGACAAGTATACTATTCGATGGTTTGCCATTGCCTTCTAAAAGGCAAAAGAACTACGAGCGTATGAAAATTTTCGATTCTGCCGGGAATTGAACCTACCGGAATCTTTAATATAGCAGACTAGTGCGTTTACTATATCACGGCTCGCCCTCCCGGCTCATATAAAGGTACACGGTAATGTTGTTGTGCTTGTCTTAGCGCCGAGACACAATGTTTCCAGATATCTCCGCGTTTTCTAAAGGTTCCGACGCATAGAACTTTTTTAACTTTATTAATGTATCATATGAATCCACTGAATCCAATCGATCATAAAGGATTCCGAAAGTCTCCATACTTACAAAACAGGTAGGTCACTCTGCAATTCTTCAATCTCTTCTTCAATTTGTAAAACTTTAAATAAATCTTCCAGTCGCTGCAACCATCTCACTAGCGGTTGTCGTTCCGAGTCTAACGTGTCCACTTGTAATAGGTTTACTTTCGGTACCGATCCTTGCACTCGGCTTTATCCACCCGATCCGGCAGTCGATATCTTTTTTTTAATTTTTCTCTGCATCCCTTTACGTCATGTACTGAGTTTTCACTGTGATCCCATGCTCGTTGCTAGTTATTGTATCTCTTGGGAATCGGGAGAGCTCGGAAACGCTGAAATGATTATGACAATTTGTTCAATGTGGAAATAAGAGTTGCTTTTCATTTACATACAAGTGAAACTGAGTCTGAACTATTTCATAGATTAATGACATCATTATTTGCTTACTTTGATAAAAAGTTATTTGACATATGATAGCACAGATTTATAATCTTACTTCTAAAGTTTACGAGACTAAAGGTACAATTTCATAATGTTGCAGCAATAAATGATCACGTGATTGAATCTCTTTCATCAAAATTCTTCCTCAATTTGTCCATTTTCTTATCGCAATGCACTGTTGAAAAGTTTTTCCAAGATTAATCCAACTTTTAGCGACATCGCTCTTACGCAAAGATTTAAATATGGAACAGCAGGATGTAAGTATAATAAAGATATTTACTTAAATTATATTTACTTATATTATAATTATTATTATTATTCCAAAACAACCTTTCCGAGGAAAATTTTACTCAAAATACATGTATAGGACATATAACATATACTACCATATTTCGAATAAATTTTTCTCGGAGAGGACGTTTTGGAATGTAACCTTAGAATATCATCGCAAAATTTGATAAAAATATACTCATTCAATACATTTTCATTCGAAATGAGAGAATGTAGTAGAAAAATGTGACAGTCTGCCTTACAAAGTGACTATTCAGTTAGGAAAACGAATTTTCTAATTTTTTTTACCTGAATAGTTATTAGAGCTGCATAATATAACTCATCACCCGAGTATCCCCGTGTATTATATATTATTATCCAATGTTAAACACAAAGATAAACGATATATGGGAGCACTAGAATAATGTTTCCGAACGTAGCCAATTCTAACATTTAGTAATTCGCTTCGTGAAACATACCATCACTCTACTAGATTTTCTACTAGATTTTTTCATTTTGAGTATTTTTATTGTTTATATTTATTTATTTATTTATTTAATGTGATACTTATTTAGAATACAAGTATCACCACAAAATTTGATAAAAATATACTTATTGGACAAATTTTTTTGTGATGATACTTGTATTCTAAATAAGTATCACATTAAATAAATAAATAAATAAATATAAACAATAAAAATAAAATATTAATAAGAGGGTAATGAGAGCATTCAGCGATACTTTGAGCGTAATGCATAAAATATATATTTAACAATAATTTTTTACATGTTACAAGAATCTTGAATGTTTCGTTTTAATTCAAACCATCTTCAGGATATAATATATTTCTATATTAGGTGTACAACTTTGCTTCCGCCGTTTTTTTTCCGAAATTCGAGGCTTTATTGTAAAAAACTGGTTATACATTTATGATTCAAAGTATTGTCCATCGCTGGCCACTACTTTCTCCCATCTTTCGGGTAGCGTACGAATCCCGCGTCGAAAAAACTGGTCATCTTTTGAGGCTATCCACGAATCGATCCAATTTTTTACTTCTTCATAAGACCGGAAGTGCTGGTCAGCCAGGCCGTGTGCCATTGATCGAAACAAGTGATAGTCAGAGGGAGCAACGTCTGGAGAATACGGCGGATAGGGTAGGACTTCCCATTTCAACGTTTCCAAGTATGTCTTGACCACTTTCGCAACATGGGGTCGAGCATTGTCATGCTGCAAAATCACTTTATCGTGTCTCTCGTTGTATTGCGGCCGTTTGTCTTTCAATGCTTGGCTCAAATGCATCAATTGCGTTCGATACCGATCGCCTGTGATTGTTTCAGTCGGTTTTAACAGTTCATAATACACTACGCCAAGCTGGTCCCACCAAATACAGAGCATGACCTTGGATGTCAAAATTACCATTCTTGAAATCACTCACGACACGTTCTTTCACTAATAGCAGCCTCACCATAAGTATTTGAGAGCATTCGATGAGCCTCAGCCGCAAATTTCTTCATATTGAAGCAAAAAATTAAAACCTCCCGCAAATGACGAGAATTTGGCTCGTAGACTGATTTTCAATCGAGAATAACTTTATAATGCAGACACAAATCGATTAATGTTTCTATGGGGTTATGTTGACAGATGCCCAAGTTTATTGTATGACGTCTATGATCTATTTATTTCGACCACCATTTACCGCTAAAACTATCTATAGGAAAACGGCGGAAGCAAAGTTGTACACCTAATACATTATTACAATTCGCAATATTGTAAATAGTTTCTGCGTTCGAACAGAGGATGAACATACCCCTACTTCCTAGTTAAGAAATGCCGTGATTTCTTCATTGTGTAATCAAGTAATTAATTAAAAGTGAAATAATATTAGTTATATTGATTTTATGTAGTTTCTATTTTTTACTTATCCTTCACAGATCACAAAACGCAACACGTCATATTACAATAAGTAAAATTTTAAGATAAAGATATTGGTAAAGATACTATCTATATGAAAGTCAGATATGTAATGACTGTTAAATTTATTTAAAGATCCACGTCAGAACAGAACAATAAATATTTTATAACCTAATATAATGTCAATCTTTAAAAACACAGTCAAAAGCTGAAGGCAAATATTGTACATATGCCACTTAAATTTTTCTAAGATGCTCACGTATGAATGGTGCAGAAATTCTGTGTCTGTAAATTCAAACTTTTAGTTTGTAATGAAATATTTAGCATTTAAGAGATGAGCCTTTTACTCAATTGTCTTTCTATATTTAAAACTTCAATATTCTCCCAACTGCTGCATAAAATCAATATAATTAATATTATTGTTTCATCACTGTACCTTTTAGTTAATCGTTTGGTTAAATAACAAAGAGATTTTACGGCATTTGTCAATTAAGAAATAGGTATGCTCATCCTCTGTTCGACCGCAAACTATTTTTAACATTGCGAATTATAATATTGTAACATAGAAAATTATATGCTGAAGATGATTTGAATTAAACCGAGACGTTCAAGATTCTTATAATATGTAATGTAAAAAATTATTGTTGAATATATTATATGTATTGTACACCAAGTACCGCGCTGTGAATGCTCTTATTGCCCGCTAATATTTTATTTTTATTGTTTGTTTTCGAGAGCCCTATTATATGTATATATATATGTATATATATTATATGTATATATTTTTTGTGTGTTCAAAATAAATACAAATTTCTTATCAAAAAATTTGTTGCAATTTTACTTCATTTAACTCTGATTATTTTTATCTTTAAAAATAATCCTAAAAATAAATAATAAATTAAAAATAAATAATAATCGCGTTTTTTATTCATAAACAATATACAAAAAGAACATAAAACCACAACGCAAGTTGTTATAAGCAGTGTCATATTAAAATTCATAATCTTCAAAATTATAAAACATATACGTTTCAGTCATCATCTTCAGCATGTCATATTACATAAAAATAAAGTAAATAAATAATAATTTTAAAATCATCTAAAGTATATAAAAAACTTGTCTGATATCTTTAGTTAACAAGATTCCCTAAAAAAACTTTTTCTTTAGATAAATCTCTAAACTCGATATGACATAACGGAATTTTCAATTGCAACAAATTCAACTTGAATTATTTGGAATTCCAAATATGTATTGGACAAAATTGGATTTGCAGACAAGAGTTGACGTGTAACATATCTGGAATTCCAACTATAATTTAGAAATAACAGAATTTCTAATACAAGAAACCATTTGACCAAATATCAAGTCCAAATTCATACGCGGACATGTTTGGAATTTTAAAGCTTGAGAGACGTATCAGTTAGATAGAAGATGTCTCTTAGATTTCTAAAATATCTCACCATGTCTTGCGATGTATCTTGTATTTTTTTAGGAAAATATATCTTTTAGGAAGTCTCTTAAAAGATGCAACAATTTAAGATATCTTTCAGATATCTAGAGATATCTAAAAGATATCTTATAGAATTCTAAAAGACATCTTTAAGTTGTCTAAAAGATATTTTTTTAAATATCTGGAAAATGTCTTCAATAAGAGATGTCTTAAAGCTATCTTAAAATTTTGTTTTTGATGTCTTGAAGATATCTTAAAAAATAAATCCATATTTAGAAAACATCATGATATCTTTTTGATATAAGAAAAATATAATTTTTTTTTATTTTGAAAACACATTTCATTTATTTTAACATAATAATTAAATATAATATTATATATAATATTCATTACATTTGCATTACAAATTAAAAAATTTATTGTGTTTCATATCAACACTTTCATATTAATACTTTCAAGAAGGAATGTCGCGGAGTGGAGAGAAATGAAACTCATACCCTAACCTTCCAATCGCACCTGGGAACAGGTACCTCGTTGTAACATACTGTCAAGAATATCAAATTTTTATATTTCATTAACATTATTTTTCTAAAATAGATATTTCGATAAGAAG